ATCAAACTGTAGATTATAATTCAAATTTTAGTATTATACCTTAGTCAAATTCTTAATTTAAAAGTAAATAAAGAAAAAACACAGCTAAACATTGATTTTTGTGTATCATGTGGTATGTTGAATGCAGTACTTGTTCAAATTAGATATTTGTAATGTCAAAATACTAAGTCAATAGTTTCTTACAAATTAGGAACTCAAATTATCAATATTGACAAGCATGGAGCAAACTGATCTTTAAAGTAGTGTTGTACATTCCCATACGATATATTACCTCATCTCACAAAATAGCTTTTCTCAGTTAGTACTGTCCTCTATCAGGGGGGGGGGGGTATCAATGCTTTCCACTATCCTTCCACCTCCCACTTATGCATATCCACATGCAAATTATCATGCAGCAGCCCTCCACCAATAGGAGCGTGACACAACCCTTATCATAACCAGAGCCTTGTTCACATTTGTACTCATTAATCACTTCTCTGTTGGCAATAGTACTGTACAGACGTGCTGTTTTTTTGCTCGTGGATTTGTCTACATGTTTTTTTATACTACATATTTTAGTTTTTCTTTACTATTTATTTAAATTTTTGCAATTTGGAATTGTGAAAGGTCGCTTTTTCCAACTTTTCGTACTTTTTCAGGAGCCTTTTTGGCTAGTGTATTGTGGATCCCACTCTTTGGCAAGTGGTGCCTGACTAGGTGTTTTTTTTCTTTTTGTTTAAAATCTGCACTGTCCATCCTGTGTCCATGCTCGTAATCAAGTACGTTGTAACCCTTCCTACTGTGAACCTGATGTGTAATTCCAGATGCTGCCAGGTGTTGTTTGTGTGTCTACACTTTATTATCATCTGTGTCTAAACAATTATGTCACAGGATTGAGTCATGCACACCATAGTGATGGGATGTTCTGTAGGACTGCTAGTATTTTTTTTCTTGTAGTTTTTTTGCTTCATAAATATGTTCATCCCAGACCGTACATTCATGGACTAACATGAGTAAAGCAGACAGAGATTGCTGCCCATCTCTGATGCTCCATGGCGTTGAGATTCTTCCTACCATGTACCTGATGTACAATTACAGGTGCTGCCAGGTTTTGGTTGAATGTCTCTATTGATGTGGTAGCTGTGCTTTTCAAAATAGAGTATCGTAGTCACCTGTTGCACTGTCTCCAGTGATGAAGTCTCCAAGCTCTCCAACGTGTTTTTCCCTCCTTTCTTTTAGTGGAGTATGGGATTCCTTACCACTTATCAGTTCCTAGATGCTTGGGTAGTGGACCATGGAGGCCTGTCCTCCTGAGTGATGAATCATACCACTCATTTGAGAGTAGGGCAGTGACTTTCTGCAGGTGTCAGTGGTGTATAGCACTTTCTACTGCAAACTTGATGTTCAGTTCCAGATGCCACCAGATTTTGGTTGTAGTATTATGCCATATTACTGTCTGTATATCTGACTGATTGCTTTTTCCTTCCGTGGCATACCTCCTTCCTACCATCTTCCAGAGGTACATTCCTGGTGGGTCTGGTATTGGTCAGAGTTGGCCCGGTCATGATTAAAATCATCTGTTGATGGTTTGATGTCCTTCCTACCATGGACCTGATGTAAAATTCCAGATGCTACTATGTTTTGGTTGAAACACTCCTCCATGTCATAACTATATATATCTATAATTGCAGTTTGCTCCTCAGGATAAGATGTTCCTCCTACCTACCATCCTTTGGATGCCCATTCTTGGTGGGTCTGGTGTTGGTTGGAGGTGGTCCAGCTAAATAAATAACATGTGTGCTGGCTGGTATCCTTCCTGTTACTGTGGACTGGATAACAAATACTCGCTGCTGCTAGGTTTTGGACTGGATAACAAATACTTGCTGCTTCCAGGTTTTGGACTGGAGATGCACTCCAGGTTTGTGGTCCCTCTTCCTACCATCTGCTGGAAGTCGGTTCCTGGCAGATCTGGGGTTGATTGTAGCTCGACTCAGCACATTTTCCCACTTGTGCAAGGCTGGATATCTACCTCCTACTACAAAGTGAAAGTACAATACCCATTGCCACTAGGTTTGTACCAGAGATGTCATCCTGCCAGGGCTTTCCACCTTCCTACAGTCCACTGGATGTTGGTTCCCAGCACATCTGGTGCTGGTTGCATTTGAAATGTGAACAGGTGGAGACAGATTTTGGTATGGATGCTCATCTGTTTCAAGGTGAAAAGGTAGGTGATCCTTTACCTACCACAGATCTGATGTACCATCCCAGATACCACCTGTTGTTGGGTGAGGTCAAACTACCATGGGGGTCCCATTAATTGATCATACATTTTGTGGGATTCCTTCATGTTTTTCTGCCATTATTGTTCATGACACACTCAGAAAAGAACAGAAAGTATACCTGGATCAGATGTGATGTGATCTCCCATTGAGGTGTAATGTTTTCTCTTTTGGTTCCACACCTCCTGGTCTGTCTTTGAATGCTTCCTAAAGGGGGATAATTTTTTCACTGGCCCTCTGCCAGTTCAGTGTGGGATTCTAACAATTTCCTACACTGAAAATGGGTTTTCGATTGATACTTACCTTTTCTCACATTTCCCACGAGCCTCCTCACTTCCGGTGATATGGTGTAAGTCTTCTGACCAATCTTGAAATGAATAATGAGTGCAAATGTGAAGAGAGAGCTGGTTATGATAGGGGCTATATCATGCTCTTATTGGTGGGGAGCTGCTTCATGATCACATGCATGTAGAATATAGAAGTGGGAAGTGAAAGGCAATTGGCAAACACTAAATTTGCATCAATAGAGGGCAGCACAGATTGAGAAAAGCTATTTTGGGAGTGAAGGTAAGTATCTATTTGAAATACATTTTCAGTGTAGAAAAGTACTAACTTTTATTGGGATACTAAATTACAAACAAAAAAATATACACATTCCATGCACTTTCCATACTTTGTATTGTTATTATTGAATATTTTTATTATTATACTTCCTTTCATATTCATAATTTAGAAATGGATGTTTTCTTTAACATCTCAGCTTCTGCAAGCAATAAATCTGAACTTTTAAAGCATAAGATGGAGATTAGTATTAAAGTAAAAACAAATACCTTTCACCTAATTGAGAAAGTAAGACACCTGAAACTAATGGATATAAATAAGAGATTTAAGAACATAATGATAAAACAAAAGTACATACAGAAAAGTAGCTATGTAGATAATGTGTACTGTATGTTGTGTATGTATAATGCATTAGTATTAAGGTATAAACAAATACCTTTCACCTAATTGAGAAAGTAAGATGCCTGAAACTAATGGATATAAATAAGAGATTTAACAATGTAATGATAAAACAAAAGTACGTACAGAAAAGTAGCTATGTGTACTGCATTTTGTGTATGTATAATGCATCACAATAGTATTTTCTTACATTTTAAGGAAAAAACAAGTTACACTAGGTTATAATCCAACATTTTGACTGTAAACTGTAGCAAATTTCAAAGTATTTGTAATTGAATCTCTGAGTTTTACAAGCAGAAAATAAATATAGCATGGTGGGATATTTTTGATCAGCCTATACGCAGAATGTGCTTTAATATTTGTTTTGTGCTATACCCACTACTAAACCAATGACCAAAGATCTAAGAATCTATCTATAACAGTGATGAAACACTGCGATATCAAGCCCATCTTCTCGCGACTCGATCTAAGACTAATTATGCACCAATTCTTTGCAAGAGAACTAAAATTGGTAGTACAAATTCAAGAGTCAGAAGCAATAAAGAATTTGCATCCATTATTTCAATTCTGTCCAAATATATTCATATTGAACATATAGCTTCAGAATATTGATGACGAAATTATAGAGAATATTTTATATTACGTTTTGTAGTTTTCTAGGGGGTGGACAAAAAAATCCAGAAGAGGAGATGGCTGAAGAACAAATATCCAAATTCTCACACTATGGGAATTTGAGGTTGTTTTGAAATATTTCCTTATACAATTAAGAACTTTGGTTTATTATCTATGGTTTGATGTCAAGTTTGTTCATATACCATGATAATTAAGTAGTTTAATTTAATTTTGAATATAACTCACTAAAATGTTGTGACATGCACAGTTTGACCTGACATGCTCTTTTGTAATGTGCAATCAGTCACGTAGGCACATTCATGTTCTCTTCCAGAACATGGGAGTCACCAGTTTCCCATATTTCATGCTATTGCTAATTTTCACAATGAGATTCGCTCATCGATTGAAGTATGAACTCAAAACTACTACATAAAACATTTATATTTCTATGAAAAGTGAAGCTGAAATATCAGATATTATTCTCAACATATGATATACTATAAACCAGTACCGGTACTGGATGCAGAGTACCACCAGTACCCAAAGCAAACCCTGGTGTGTACTATAATTGGTAATTGGGTGATTGTACCTAAAAGATAGTCATGCTTTTTTTTACAATAAATAAAACTGATTAGATTTTTCATCTTACAAAAGGTATTGTGTAAAAGTTTATTCATATGCTTGGAAAACTATTTTGTGTTATGATTCTTCACTTCCCCACTATTTAACTGTAGCTTGATCAGTCTCCTAAATTTTTTGTAGGATGTTACGCCACAGAATTTTTTGAATGTTCTTCAAGGAAATGAAGAAGCAATGAAAGGTATTGGCAGTGGAAAAGTTCTGAAGAGGTTGGTATTATTAAGTGAATTTTACTATGTATTGATATTCTGTTATTACTTGAATATCTGTTTCCATAAAAAATTTTTATCTATGAAGTGTAAACAATTCTTTTTATTTGTTCATCTAAAAATATATTTAGCAAATTTTTATCCATTTTAGATATAAATTTGAAGAAACTTTTATACATCATCACCTTTGATTATCAATAACATATATATTTCCATTTACCCTGTATATAGGAATATTAGATTTATTTTGAAATTGTTTTAAAACATAATTGGCGATTTTTTGCACTTGTAAAATTCAACTGACTTTACTTGATCAGGACAATACTTAACACTCCATTAAATTTCCTGTCAATTATAAAATACACAGTTGATTAAAATCAGATTATGTTTACTAATTGTTAAGTATTAAAATATACTTTCTTTTACTAGTGGGCCGAATGATCATGTATTTGTGAATTTTGCTGACCATGGAGCACCTGGAATAATTGCTTTCCCCAGTGATGTAAGCTACGTGTTTTTACTTTAATAATTTTAGTTATTAGCACGTCCTTAATTTTACTAGTTACTTAATCCTGTCAGTTCCCTGGCTTTCACTTAGCACCAACCAAAAATGACTTAGTTATTGCATTTAATTGACTTTTTTTAAATATATTATATGAAGTTAATGCATTTAATTTACTTTTCTGAGCAGCATCATTATACTTCTTTTTGTAAGAGGCATGATGGAAGTGACATAATAAAAGATAATTTTCCAATACAGAAAATGCATTTGTGATAGGTATTTACCTCCTTTCACATAAGTAGCTGTTCTCGTCCAGTGCTGCCCTCTATATGCAAAAATTTTTTCACATGCCACAAACCTTGAGTGCCTACATACCTAAGGTCATTGTGGTTCAACTGTGTCTCCCATGCAAATCATCATGCCACAACCCTCCACCAAAAGGAGTGCAACACACTTTCCTGAAGCATGTGACTTGCTCTATTTGATTCTACTGAACTATCACTTCGAGTTTTGGCAGAAATGCATTTTCAATATATGAAAATGATAACTTCCGATACGGTATATTACCTCTTCTCACATAAATAGCTAGAATCCCACATTGAATAAATGGAGGGACTGTTGCAAGAAAAAGAAAGAAGCATCTTTCAAAAGCATCTGAAGGAAACCCTAAAAGAGTAGATCCTTCTAGTAGAGGATAAGATGTGGGAGACTGCACCACATCTGTACCAAAAGCACCTGAAGGAAACCCTCAAAGAGTAGATCCTTTCAGTAGAGGATAATACGTGGGAGATCGCACCACTTTTGTACCAGGTATACTCTTTGCCAAGTGTGGAAAGAGGTGTCGTGGACATGGGTGGAAATTGGGAGAGCACATCCAAAACAGAGAGAGAGAACAATGGATGGATAGGGATCTGAACCACACAATATTGGAATCTCAATCCCATAGAGTACATCAATATAGGAGAGAGGAAAAGGATGTGCTTCTAGATGTAGAATGACTAGGGTACGACGGACCATACACAGCAAGTCAACTGCATCCAAAACCCAGCCACCAGGAATTGACATCCATGTTGGAGTAGGAAAGAGGATCATAACATTGGTAAGTCAACTACGATCCAAAACCCAGCCATCTGGTAGTGATAGGAAAGAGGATCATACAGTTTTCACCTCAAGTTCAGTAGACCAAAGGGAATCTCGTACCCCCCAATCTGTGAACAGGACACATGATAGCTATGTGATAAATTGTTTCACTGATCCAGGAACCTGACATCTGGACAATCGGTATGGTAATGATGTCTATGTAATATAAACCATCTCACTCAAAACCAATCTGACAGGAACTGCTCCCCAGTGCAGTAACATTCTTGGAATAAGAAAATCATCTAGAGACAGCTTAAGAGGAAGAACCATATTAATCTGCAAGTTCCACCACTGTGACCCACAACACAGGTGGAGGGAACAAGAGTATAAATGAGTAAGAAAACAGAGATACCTATAATACATGTGTGAGGACTTATGTTGACTCATGTTTGGATTTTGGTGTCAAAATATTACAATTTTAGTAAATGATAAATCAAAGTACTGAATGCTTTTCTAAAATCACTTTGTTGCTTATTGTGAAATATTTTGCTATATCCTACTAATATTCAGTAAACTTGGAAGTAATAAGGTATTGTCGAAAATTAGATTTTGCTCACTCTTGAAGCACATTTCTATCTAATGCTAACAGTTTTAAGATTTTTTTTATTTCATGTGCTACTTTTTTATGTAGGTTTTGAAGGCTACTGATTTAAATAAAGCCATAAAGAACATGCAAAACAGAAAGATGTATGAAAAGGTAAGTAATGTTTATACTTCTTAAAACTAATTTAGTATAATACTTCATTTCTTTTATCAAAGAAAATAACTATTTTAAGTAAATTAGTGAGCATCTATCATTTGGACAACTTCACTGAAAAATATTTTAAATTTGTGAAAACCAAATAATTTCAGTATATAAAAGTACACTGCTCCGTTCATTTATATTGTAGTAAATAAGTGTACCAAGCATTTTTATCTTGTTATATTATTTATTTTGTACATATGCAGATTTTACATAATACATGGTCAAAAAGGCAATTATGTGCATTGCATTCTAGTTGCCTTTGTTCCTTTGTCATTCCTGAGAAGATAACACTTGTTCTGCTCATGGCTGATTTGCTGTAATACTGCAAAAACGTGACAGCAGTGTCTTTCAGTGGTAGTTCAGGTGATGTTTTGAGGTTGGATTGGCCAATATTAATGTAAGGGGCATGTGTCCTGAGAATATAGTGTTATAAAATTTGGTGAATAATAATTTGATCTCTTAGTTAGCTTTCTTTTGCTCTCTCTCAAGCACAGGCTCTTAGTCTGGTGAAGTTTAAGTCCTTTCTTTGTAAAGAGTAAATACTCTCCTAAATTTAACATGTAACATTAATTAATATTTCTTAAAAAGTCTTTTAAAATTATTATGAAATTATAAAAGAATTAACCATACGGTAAGGGCATGCTCTTTATCTCTTGTACATTTTAACCCTATCACCACAGGTATCCTTTACTGTGCATGACAAGGTTTTAGTGTCTTGCATTCAAAATTTTATTAAACTACTTTTTGTTTATGTTATACCAATTAGAATAGCATAAAATAGCAGCTAATAATCCATATTTTAATAGTATATTAGTTGTAAGTTCTTAATTCTACAAGGCAATATTTAAAAAAAAATCCTGAATTTCCACTAGTGTGACCCACTTGACACATTTTGTCTTAGCATGTCTTCATCCCTATTTTATCCACCACCCCTCCAAAAAGTATGAAATTAAATGTAAAATACTCTCTATAAAATCGTTATTGCTCAAACAAACCATAATTTTTATATCCTTTAATTTAGTTTGGTTATAGAGCTATCAAATAGAAAATCAGACCCCTCCTGCCACATCCACCTGTCACATCCTCTCTTTCACAATTTGTTGAAAGTTCTCTCTTACATTTCATTATATATTACTTATAACTAATAGAAAGTCTATCAAAGGATGTATAACGTTATGTTCTGAATGGTTAAATGTCAGTTTCACTCAGAGTACCAACATTGCTCCTGTGAGAAAGTTAACAACTAGCTTAGATGAATTTGTAACGACTTGTCATATAGATAGAAAGCCAGAAAAATTTTGAGAGGTAAGGGAATTTGCCTGTTTTTTACATGTTATTAGTCTATATTCTTTGATCAATTATTTAACTAAATAATAATTATTAAGTGCATAACTATCATTAGTATAAAAAATTAGGGTTAACTCTCTTTTGACAAACGACAGCAAGAAAAAGAAGATTGGTTAATTATTTTATTTCTTGTTTTTCATGTATATTCTTTATGTCTAATTACGTAATAACTTCGTA